GAGGGGGAGGCATTAGCATTCAGAAGAAGTTTTAAAGGAGAACTATGAGGTGAGTGATTTTCATTCAACCTCATAGTTCGAGCCGACGTGTGACAATTAAACTGTCACACGTCGGCTCAATAGATTGGGAAGTGAGCGAACACAAACCGTCGCTCGCTCACTTTTCGATCCTGTCCCTGCAGAGAGCCGTAACTGTCACTCACGGCTCCCTGCAGGGTTCCCCTCCCCGCTCCGATCCTCCAGTGCTGACTGGCGGAACCGACGAGGGAGGGGCGGGTACAGCTGGCTCTGCCTCTAGATAGGCAGAGTCAGCTGTCACTCACGCAGCTGGGTGGATCTCGACAGTAATGTTGGGATTTGTCCCGGCTGCGGCTTTGGGTCACGGGAGGGCGCTAGTTTATGTCCTCCCGTGACCCTTAGGAGAACTATGGGGAAAAACACTCACCCCATAGTTCCCCTTTAAAGAAGAAGTCCTAGCCAATTTTATTCCTAACCCTTGCAGTGGGGCTTGTTTTTGTCTAGAGACAAAAATAAAGTTTATACTCACGTGAACCTCAGAGCGGACTGGCTGCTACTCTGATCCCTGCCACCTGTCTCCCTCCTTCATTGCAGCGATGGAATGTCCCTCAGCGTCCTCATGTCCTATATACTGTATACTGACGTGATGACTCACAGGACCTTGGACCGCTGGAGCAGAGGCGGCAGGGATCGGTTTATCAGCCAGATGGTTCAGGTGTGTATATCACACCAGGTTCAGGTGTGTATATCTTTTTTTATTTTCGTCCCTACACAGAAAAAAAGAGCTCAACCCTTGCAGTGCGAGGATATCCCCACTGCAAGGGTTAGGAATAAGTATGCCTGGAGTTCCCTTCTTTACACCTACCCAACTGACCATAGAACAGTTGCAAGCACCATAGAAATGTGGTGGCCATCTGACTGAAAATAGCCAGATTGGAGATGCTTATGTCATGCCATGTGCTTAACATGTATAATTAAAAATGCCATTGCCTTTACCAGTCCCATTGTTAAACATACAAAAACAAAATATCAGTGGGAACCTTGTGCAATTGTTGTTTACATCTCTCATCAGAGATGTAAGAGGGAATAGCACAATGAGTCATGACAGCTCTAGGAGAGATGCAGCTAGGGTGGGAGCCCAAGGAGGCCCTGTCGTTATGGGATCCCGTCGTGGATTGTTACAATTCTTTATGGGTGCACAAATCCTGGGTGTTGTGTAGCTAATAGGATTAAAGGAAACTTGACATTAGAGAATGCAGTACTGTATATGGGCTAATATTGCTTAAAGTGTACCTATAGACAAGCCCCTCCCCCCTTCCCCCCACTTTCTGTCGTGGGGACAAACTCTTCACCAGACAGGAAATAAAGGGAATTCTTCAACCGCAACACAGACTGGAATCTCTATCAATGTTTCTATTGTCTGTTCTCCTCCAGTATGGCAAAATGTTGTCCCCAAAACAGGAAGTGAGGGGAAATCTCACTAATAGAGCCCTAAAGAAAAACCTGATGGGGGTTTAAACCCTTCCCCGCTTAGTCTTAAAATAATTTTTTTTTTAAGTTTTGTCTATAGGTACACTTTTTTCTTTTTTTTTTTTATTATTTCTTCTCTGGGCCAGTGACTTGCAGAGAATCAAAGATAAGTATGACAGCCCTGGGCAGCCTCCACATTGCCAGCCCCCATGTGTCTGACATGACTAGCTCTCTGCAGCTTATTCTCACTATCTGATGTGTCTGCTGCTTCCTGGATTCTTCATCAATTTCTCCACCTTTTTGTATGAAACCACAGCAAGTTTCCCTTCGATATGTCCCATTGATTACAACACACTAGACTTTGTTCTGGGTTTTGGTCTACCTCTAGGAAAATGCGTCACTCTCTAGCTGTCAGCTCACAGTTACACGTCTCCTGAGACTGGCTGTCGCTTCCTGGCAGGAAGGACAGTGTCCCATCTTTTTCCAGCAGATGACACCTTGGATTGCCCCAGGCTAGTTCAGCAACAAAAGATTTCATTGAATGGAAATTAGCATATAAAGTTTATGTGTAACCCATTCATTTTACTACAAAGTCTTAATTCTCTATATTTGCGTTTTCCTAAGAGAGGCTTACTGGTTTCAGGCACCTGCTTCTTGTTATGGAAAGTCCCAATTTAACACTTTGATTAGTTTGTTGGCCTAACAGTTGCAGATGTTGGTTACACAGTACGATTACATGGTCCAATTATATTAGGCTACTGTGTGTTTTTTCTGATCCTACAAAATAGTCAATATTCAGAATCTATTGGGGAAAGGCTATGCATTATATGCATTTTTCTTCAAAATACATGAGGCATTTGTTCCCCCCATAATTGCAAAGAGCTGACCACACAGTTCAGTGGGAGATAGCTGTGGGATTCCCTTAGCATCTTGATTATTGGTGAAATAGGTCCAAAACCATTGCATAGCTTTATACTCGGCAAATGTATTCTTAAAGTGAACCTGTTAGCAATTAAAGTTTTTGAAAGTCCTATTTAGAAGCCTTAAAGCCTTAGAGAAATCAAGTCCTTAAAAAACAAATAAACCACATTAGACAGGTGTTCTATCTACATAATAAAAATAAATCTATTATGATTCAGTATTTTCTGAATTACAAAAATCTGTATGCTCAGCAATCTTTTGAGAGGGAGAGAAGTACAATTAAATAGGAGCTGAAACATTGTTGTTGACAGACAGATGCTGCAGTCTAAATGTTTTTTACCATGGTGCAATGTAAAGCAGATTGCTTATTTACATTGAACTACTCTGCTCAATATACTGGAGCGAATGTTCACTACTCTGCTCAATATACCGGAGCGAATGTTCACAGATTGCTCCATCTATGCTAATCTGTGTGGATGGAGGATTCTCCCGCTGGGCCAAGCCTCAGTATCTTTCTAGTAGGCTCTGCTGGCTTTTGAAAACACCTGCACAGTGCCTGCATCCAATCAGATTGTTCAGGTATTTTGACAGCCAGCAGGGCCGACCAGCAAGATACTCAGGCTTGTCCCAGCGGGAGATTCCTCCATCCACCAGTTTAGCGTAGATGGGAGGAATCTGTTGCACTTTTTCCATGTCACCAAAGAAAATCTGCAGAAAATCTATAGATGTATGGCCTTGCTTTAGATGAAGGTGAAACTGCGGTCCACGTCAATCATCCAATCACGTGCAAGCAAAAATACTCTAAAACAGAAAGGCTGTACTATGGATTACAGGCTCATACTTCGTACCCAAGAGGAACCGCTAACATTTCCAGGTCTTGAGGAAGCCTTACCAAAACCAATGAATGGCAATGGCAAACATTCCTCTTCCTAGTTGGAAGAGTACAACCTTTACAGTGGTGTTCAGAATGCCACCCTTACAGACAGCTAAAAAGATGATTGGTGTCATGCTGCTGGCTTTTGCACCACCAAATGGAAGCTCAACCAGCCATAGTTCAAGGAAGCCCTAGCAATCTCTGGTAGAATCCTAAGGTTCCACGGATCTCTGGTTGAGAAAAGATGCTTTAGTAAATTAAACCCATGGTCTACATAAGGGGAAGTTCTACTAGAATAAACACTATGTACTTCCATTGTAGTATTCCTTGTAAAGGTGGATCTTCGAAACCACTAAGTTCAACCCTTACATTAGTATTTTTAATCATTGCATGCAGGTGCCTGTTGTCACTTTCTTCTTAAACCCTACAGCATACATTATTTCAAGACTGAAAATAGCTCATTGGAACCATTCCCAGTAAAAAAACCAAGCAAACTGCAGAGTATCTATCTGGCTGGGTTCGGTCCATAAGCACCCTCTTTCTCCTAATGTGGCCACTGGTCAGAATTTAGGACAGTTAAGAGAAAGAGAAGGAAAAGTTGAGGACTGAATTAAATCATAAAACAAATCCTCTTGAGAAATGCCTCTTCATATACACAAACTCCATCCCTATTAGCATCACAAAGCAGAGTGGACACATATTCAGTACTAGGTAGTGTCACACCTCTAATCCCCATTGACAAATCTGCAATGGGTGTTTCTCATGCTAATGCCTATTCTTAAGGACAGGCATGACGGAGCTCATTTTGACTCCTCTAGTTAAACTTTTGCTTTACTACACAGAGGTAACTGGGGACTTGAAATAGAATACCCTGCGTGGTATTCATTAGCCTCTGCAGTGACAGTGTTGGAGTTCTGGATTAGCTCTCACTCATGCTGCTGGATTATGTTTTTTTGAAAAGTTGTCACTTTGCCAGTGAATTTCTGTAGATTAAACTTTCACAGAGAGCAGTGATGGTAATTAGTGGTGAGAGAACTGATTCCGCAATTTTTAATTCACCTGGATATTTGCATACAGATCTGTGAAGAATCATACAATTTTTGAATCACCATCACCTGGAATCCTTTAGATCTGAAAGCACAATTTCAGGTAACACAAACATTGAAGAAGTGATGATTTTTCTTTTGACTTGTGATCTTTGTATAGGAAACAGCTGATGCTCTCCAGGATGGACTGGGTGGATGGTTTTATTGTGATACAGTGCAGGGATATCTCAGAGACGAGGAAGATATAATTTATATGTAGAAACATTTACATGTAATCATAGGGAACAAAATAACCGTTCTACTCTAGGATAAAGTAAATGAATTCTCTAAACATTTGCCTGTTGCTTTTTATCTCCTATGTTTAAAGGGCCTTGTATCCATAGCTGGAATTTAACTTTTGTGGGAAATAAGATGATGTCACCATCTGAAATCAAGATTTACTTTTAACGCAGTGCTTCAATCAAATTCAATTTGTATCTGTCTTGTTTTTCCCAGAATCCCCCCGACTGTCAGCAGGCTCATCCAGCAGCAATGAAAAATTCTCCAGTTCTGCCTCCATCTCTACTGACTTTTATGATTCGGACCGACCTGTAAGCATCGCCTCTACAGCATCTTCTGGCTCCCTTCGTGAGGGCCGTGATCTCTATGAAAATATCGGACCAACAGAAGAGGAGCGGTTGGGTAACAGTCCAACTGGTGTGAAAATGGCGCTGGTGTCGTCTACTGGGGAGAACCTGCACTCCACTTTTCGGGACAAGCAAAGTGGGTTAAAAAATTCCCACACTACAAACGGCAACAATAATGTTAACAGACGAAGCCGTATTGGTTCTAGGTCTCTTTCTCCATTTGGGACAAAAGTTAGTGGTATCTCTAACAAACTCAGTTATGTGGAACGTGTGGTGCTGGAAATTATCGAGACTGAGAGGATGTACGTCCAGGATCTACGTAGTATTGCAGAGGTATGTAACAGTCCATTTACACTGGCATTATGGGACAGAAAATCGGAGACCTTCAGCCCAGAACATTTTTAGGGTAGGGTTGGGTAGAGTGGGGCAATGCAGAGGTTCTGAAAGCATGTGTCATGGGATGAGGGTATCAGAATAATTGTAAAGTGAACCTGTGAGGGAAGAAATTTTAAAGCTGCATTGTGAACTTTTAAAGGTATAGTCTGCAGTCTAATCACCTTGACCCTGGACTCACTAGGTATTCTGTCACTGACCAGGAAGTATGTAGGAAGGCAGATGTGTCTTTCAGACTTCACTGGCTGCAAATTTATTCCAGGTTATTCCGACTTAATAGGCAGTTAAGCCAAAATCATTATGACGCCCATATTTTTTTAAAGCAATGTCAACTGTCCTTGTTTATGTCCTTACAGTTTTACTTGAAAGCCATCAACCTGATTTACTATTTGTATTGTGATGGCCTTCACAGCTACATACAGAAATCTTACAGGAAATGTATACTATTTTAATATGGATGGCTTGCAGGCATTTTACATGCAGTTACATTGGGTTTTTCTTTTTTGGGGTGTTCACACAGAAACTATTTGCCTAAAGCTGCCTCTCTACAGGTATATCAAGCAGCCTGAGATTTTTTAGTTTGTGGCTTAAAGAACCCTGATCTGCAAGATGTTTAGAAAAATACTTCACGCTGTCCTAATTTGTTCATTGAGGGTGACTGGCACCCACAGTAAACATCCAGATGATACCGAAGACCATAGCAGCTTTCTTTCCAGAACCTCATATTCAGTATATCCTTATAGAGCTTGTCTATGGCCGAGCAGATATCTGTAATATGGAAGTTAACATTGCTGACTGGCTGTTTAAAAATACAATTACTAGCTGTGCCTGACCATCTCTGGTTGCAATACTTTTAGACACTAACCCAGAACAAGTATGCATGGGATGAGTATGACAACCCGAGATGCAGTATTTTAAGTCATCAGTGGCTTAGGCTGCCAAAGAGGTTGTCATTTCTGACCTCTCCTAAAATGCTGGTTCACAGACTGTCATACTGATCCAATGGCTTCATTAACTTCAAAGTCACTAATTCAGAACAAGCATGTAGATTAGGAATTTTGACTTTACGCTGACTTTCTTGAACTACTTGCTTGTTCAGTTCAGTGATTGAAAGTATTAAAGTCAGAGATGGCAAGACAGTAAAAAGTGAAGATCACTAGCACTCAGAGGATGACGTTTAAATGATAATGTCATCCTCTGAGTGCTGGTGATCTTCACTTCTTGCCGTTTGATGTACACGGGGCCATCTGTGGTTATCACTGCAAGCACCACCATCGTGATTTGATCTGAAACGCTGCAAGGAGTGCAGGGAGACTTACTGGTATTCTACAGAGATAGCAAGACAACAAGGATTTTCAGGAGGTCAGCGGGGGCTCTGTATCCCTCTTAGAAACCTGGCTTCCTTTTAATTACTGCAAAGCTACAAAGTGTTGCAGTGTAGTTTACTAAAACCCTTTTGCCATAGACCAAGCTGTCTTTTAAAAACCCTATAAAATGACAGCGCTGCTTACCTTTGCAATTTCTGAACCAGCCTGGATGTTAAAGAGTAACTTTTAGCCATATCTTTGAAATGACAACAAACTTGCCTTTGCAAATGCTTAGTGATGGCAATCTGCAAACACATACTTGTAGATAACTGCCGGCTTTTTACACTTTGCATACCTTATTTTGCTTTTCCTCTCCATTTTGCTCACAGTGGCCATTTTACTGAGGGCGGATTAATAGATCTCCCTTTACTTCCTGGAACTCTGGCACATGTGACTAGGACACGTGACCATACACATCATCTCAGGGAAGGAAAATGCCTTTGCCTGAGATCTCATGAGATTACAGATGGGATTTCCCAACAATGCTCCGTGATGTAACCTTCCCAGGATGCAATGCTTGGGCATGTTACATCACTAATGCCCAAGAAGTGGAAAACAATAATTTTAAGTTAAAATAAAAATGTTGGTTTACCTCATGAATGTAGGATGATTTCATATCGGCATCCTGAGCTGCATGCTGAGGTGATTTTTTAGTAAAATGGGGTAAAGGTTCACTTTAACTTGGTTTGGGTTGTGGTATCTCTCCCACACTGTGTACACGCAGGCGGGAATTTATCAAAACCGGATTTTAGTAAAATGGGGTAAAGTTCCACTTTAACTTGGTTTGGGTTGTGGTATCTCTCCCACACTGTGTACACGCAGGCGGGAATTTATCGAAACCGGAGCAGGCTAAATCTGGAGCAGTTGCCCAGGGCAACGAATCCGCTTCTCTCTTCAGTTTTTTCAGTTAAAATTTGAAAATGAGAGAGAGAAGCTGATTGGTTGCCATGCACAACTGCTCCAGATTTTGTCTGCTCCAGTTTTGATAAATTCCCTTTCCAGTGTTTAGCCCCAGATCGCCCGGCCTAATACATTTTTGTGGCCATGTGTAGAAGTACATTTTGATCACAGGAAGTAGATTTGCTTGTTGTGCATGTCCATGTATACTTCTACATTTGAACTGCAGCATGTCCTGTAAAAGATGCAGTGCAGTCAGATTGACACATTGCCCAATCCTTTCATTTGTTTTCTGTGAATTTGTATGTAAAAAATGTGAATGAAGGCATCCCAAATAGGTAAAATGCTGTGAATGTGCCCCTACAAGGAAACCGAGCCGAAAAAGTTTTGGTCGTCTGTAAAGCAAGTTCATGCCTGATTTACTGCAGAAATTGTGAAATGAGTTACTTTGCTGTTATTTTACCATCACCAGGAAACCAAACACATCAAAGAGCCCCTCTGGCTATGAGATTGATTGTGCATTCCACACCAGCACTTGTCTGCTTTTTGTTTTCTGGCGTCCAATTACTGCAGGTTTCTGTTAATTGTACAGTAGAGTTGACATTTTATGTGTGTTTTGCCTCTTTCCTTTGAAATGAGCAGCTTCCATGATACACATCCTAGACAGACAGTGACCTATTATTATTTTTTTTATCCTTATTTTTAAAACTACATTTTTGTGAATGAAGCCAATGTAAGAATCTGAATTCCGTCTTATCACAGCACCCTGATAACAAATTGTATTTATTCCTATAATGAAAACTCATGACCTGGGGAGCAGTGAGCTGCTAAAACATTAATGAGGCAATAAAATCTGTCAGCCATGATTAATACTCAAAACTTAAGTGCCTGTATTTTATTCCTGTAGGATTATCTGGGAGGCATCATAGACAAACAAGAGCTGCCAATGAAACCAGAGCAAGTCTGTGCTCTCTTTGGAAATATTGAGGATATTTATGAATTGAACAGGTAATATACTTTAAAAATAATCAAAAATCACTGCGCTGGGAATGAGTGACTCGATATCTAAATAACTAAATAGACCAGCAGCAACTTTGTGTATAAGTGAGTCTATTATGTGGCAAATAAGTTGCGCTCGGTCTAGTTGTGAATGGATGTGAAAGTGCTCTCTCAAAACCCAAAGGGGGGAGATCACCTTCAGATAACAAAATACATTTTAAATATAAAGTAGATGTCTCCACTAGTGATAGTGAACTAATGTTTGAAGAACAAGCACAAGGAGCCAATCAGTTGTGCTGCCATGCCCATGCTTTAACATATGGCATGTTAATAGGAGTAGAGAGCAGAGCAGAGTGCTGCTTTTCTTTTCAATGTCCAATCAAGGGAGGAACAAGACCCGTAAGTGTTACTTATGTGCAGCACAGAAAAAACAAGTCACTTTCCCTGCCAGACAAGGGCTGTGCTGTGTGACAGAGCTGCACAAATCTCCAGATTGGATGGATAGGAACAAAATCCTTTGGCAGGTAAAACCGCTTTCTTGTATGTAATTCATCTGTGTATTTAACTGTTTGCCTGGAGTTCAGCTTCAAAGTAAATCTTTCCCAATAGATTTGTGGGAATTATCATCGCTGACCTCCTTCTGCATGTACTAGTTGACTGCCATTTTTCTGACCCACTACTGTAGCTTTAGTACTATCTAAGTTACTGTCTTGGAATAAGCATGTAGATCAGAAAAATCAGAGACAAGTCAGAAATCTTTATACTTGTTTTGGGCAGTAAATCCCAAGTATTGCTGTTGGAGTGTCAGCAAGACTGCCAAGCAAGTTAGCTTTTACTAAATACGATGTTAACAATGGTAGCCTCCATGCTCCTCCCCATAAAAGTTCCCTTTTAATAGGGATAACAAAGGGGCCCAACAGACAGACAAATAACCATCATTAGCTGTTCTTATTTAAAGTGGACCTTGCACTCCAGGGCAGGTCTGTTTTTTTTGTGTGTGTTTGT